GGGGGGGCTGTGTTTAAAACAAAATAGAATACGTTATGTGAATCTGAAGCAGATGCGCAAGATACTGCCGTTTGGAGTGATTTTTTAACTTTGCGCGTTGCCTCAATGTTAGTTGTGGAACATGTCAATGCAAGTTGCTCGTGGGCTTTTCCAAAACCAGCATTTAAATTTGAGCATTTTTGTTTGAGGTGTCTACAAATCCAGTGGCTCGGGGCTTCAGGTTTTATTGATTTTCGTGCACCTTACTGCCGGAGATACATCCGGTTTTGGGCAATTTGGATCTTTGGATCGTCTGATTGGAAAAATAACAGATAAATCTGGATTTTGCTGGGTTCTTACGAATTGTCTCAGCAAAACCATAAACATCACAAACAGAGACATGGAGAGAAATGAAGACGTGAGAGCAACTGCTGGCATGGAGTTATGCCTGCATTTCATAAAAAAAAAGCGGAGAATAAAATAGTTTGGCCACCTATAAGGAATGTCATCTAGTCAGCCAGCCCTAAGAGCCTAAAACGCAAAATAATAAGACTGCAAAGAAACAGCAGACCCTACAAAAGATGGATTTAGGGCGTAAATGGTATACTGAGAAACTACATCTCAATTGAAATGGCGGCAGAGTTGGCCTGCCATAGAAAACAGCATCTTCCCACGACGCTCAACGGCAACAGAGGACTAACATGTAAAAAAGTAAATACGAAGAGTTATCAAGATAGCAGCCAAGTAACAAAGGAAATAATATACTACTTTATACTGTTAACCCAGCTTTCCCTCCAACCCACCACTTCCCCATTCTTCTGTCTCTTGATTGTCTTCCCTTTTCTGAGCCTGTATGAGCCATAGACTTGTATTATAATGTCCTAGACTGTGCATCCTAACTTAATTCTGGTTCACCGGGGGTGCGCTGTGTGACAATATTTGAAACTAAATAAAGGGCAAAAGGGAGAAGGTGCCTCTCGCACTCGGCTAAAGCGAGACTTGTATTTTGCCATTCATTTGACCGTCCATTGCGCTCACCAGCTTTTCAAGAAAAGCGGCGGCCATGACATATCTCAGTCTATGATACTACTATTCTATCAAAGTCTATGGTTTGAGTAAAGAACAACAAACTGACATAGTGACGGTCATTTTAGGCATGAATAGAGAGACAGACAGACAGACAGGCAGACAGACAGACAGAGGGCGAGAAAAGAAGTACACCATACTAGAGGCACTGTGGCAAATCTCAGAAGCAGAGATTTCACTGATATAATTAAGTCGAGAAACGGATGAATTCGGATCATCAACAAGTACGTAGAACATTCAGCAAGTCACAAGATTGTTGATCAAAATCGCAAGTTGAAAAGCACAAATATTAGACCAATACGCGAAGGCAGAAAAGTGAATCATTTCAAGAAACTGGATATCTGATTCAGGGTTTTTGGACGTATGCACACCATCAGCACACCCGGGCACTCTCACCGCTCAGCAAAAACTAAACTTGTGAACTCCAATAAAACGAAATGTCGGAGATATTTGAAAGCGGAAGTCATGCACTGTATTTTGGGTAGGGTGTTTGTTGACAAAATAATATTTGTTTCAGTTTAACGTCCGACCACATAAAAATACGTCTTTTCAAAAGCAAAGCAGAAATGCCCTCGCTTGACTCACATAATTTGAGTGCGTGGGTGTCTCATGGTCTTCGAATTAGCTTTTATTTGTACCCCAAGAATACGTTCATTGGCAAAGACGGAAGTGGGAAAACACACCCTAACCCAGGGGGCACGATCTGTTCAAATGTTGGGATTAAAAGGGGTTTCATCCACCATTTCCAAAATAAGACAGAGTGTACGAAAATAGCTGTATCCCAATCCCTGTATCAGGGCTGTAAATCGTTTCATTACCGCAAAAAAAGCCCCACCGAAACAACCACCGAAAACAACCACCAAAAGCATTAAGAAGAAGAAGAAGAAGAAGAAGAAGAAGAAGAAGAAGAAGAAGAAGAAGAAGAAGAAGAAG